AACATAAAATTTCGGTTTAAATAGCATTTGATAAATTTAATTAAATCATAAAATGCAATCTAAATAGAATTAAATTGAACCAACTATCTTTAATTTTTTATTTTAAATTAAAGTTTAAAATTATTAAAATATCCTTAGATTTAAAATTATATTTTTTTTAATAAAATTGCTAAAATATATTAATTAAAAAAACCTAGCAATATGGAGATTAAAAAAATGCTGTCCCCCTTATTTCTCTTTTATTATTGTATTTTCAAAAATCTACTAAGCACTGTTGGATTAGACTTTCGGGTGAAGATGTCCGTTAGGTAAAGTAATGTTTAAATAAAATTATAATATTTATTCCTCAAAGATGTCAAATCATTTTATTGCCTATTCTAAACCACCAAAGAAAATAACTTGAGAAAACAGCTCTCAAAACACCTACATAAGAACACTTATTTGTAAACAATCGGTAGCATCAAATTACAATACTGTCATCGGTAGCAATTTTGTCCACTTGTTCTATTAACCCAACAAACTCAACACTTCCAAGAAAGTATTATTATTTCTAGCAAAAGCAAACAATGTTTTACCAATTTATCCTCTGCGAGAGTCCGTTAAGCAATTTGGGGGTGGGGGTTCACAAGAATCCCAGCCTCCGGATTCGGATACAATTGATATATATTTGTATTTGTATAACACAGATTGGAAGAGACAAATGCATTTGGGCTGTAGCATTGAAGTACTCTCAAAAGAGAGGCAGCCACAAAAGCTTCAGTTACTTACAAATACAAGCCGTTAGCACATTCCACTAGAATTTTTTATCTACCAGAGACAAATTGTTTGTTCTGTCAGTCGGTCCAACAGCTGAGCAAAAGCCAGAATCAAACTTACAGCAAGCTCCAAAACACCTACTAGACCTATCTCAATTCTCAACCCATTTCTTACACATCTATGACAATCACCGCAAATATAAAATCAACCATGCTCACATGCTCACACTGCCAGAGAAAAATTATACTAATATTTACTATGTTACTGTAATACTAGATAATTACTATGCTATAACGGTGGTTTTGCTGGGCCTTTTTCCTTCCATGGCATCTTTCTTCTTCCGACAATTTGTGCAGAGGAATGGGCCTTCCCATGGGTTCGATGCAGGAGAGAAAAAAGGTCCAGAATTCACAGACAAGCCATCACCAGGGGGTTGGTCCACTTGGCAAACCGCACAGCGGAAAATGCCAGAATTCTTATTAAGCGGAAAATCCTTACCCAGCCTGCAATTTAAGAAAATGTAGAATTTAAGAATTACTCATGCATATACACCCACATGTCAAGGGAATCATTTGATTCATCTGTCAGTTAAGTTGATTGCACTTCAAGAAATAGCATGCAAGCCAGTAATCGTAAAGGCTCCAAAGTGGAAGAACTTACCTTTCAGTAAGCATTGCAGAACCCTCTTCAAATAACTCCTCCACAACACCAACTGCAGAAAGCTTATTGGTACCTTTGTTCACTGTGTTCTCAGACTTTTTCCCAAAAAAGAGAAGCGAAGTTAGCATATTATGTTTCTTTCTTGGAGTTGGGGGTAATACAGGAAGGTCAGAAGGAATAATATCTACAACAAGGCAGGTTGTATCATCCTTCAGGCCTCTTGACCTTAGAGCTTCCTGGGAAAAAGGGACAAAACGAACAATTTACTAAATATTGGACATCCATTCCTCAAAAGTATTGGAAGAATGTCTGAACAAATCATCACCTTAACCACTAGTTTTGCAGCAAGATCTGCAGGCAGACCCCGACATGACTGGGCAGCCATATCAGATGATAAAGCATCCCAAATACCATCAGAGGCTATAATAAGTCTTCCACCAGCATTTGAAAGCTGAGAGATCAATAGACAAATGTTTATGAACTCATACAGAGATCAACAAACAAAAAACATAAGAATGAAACTAGCTCACCTTCACTTGCTTAACATGTGGTATTGGCACAATAAATTCCCCAACGTCTGTGTCACCAATTGATCTAGATAAGCACAATCCACCAGGCCAGCAGCGAAGAGGCCCAACCTATGAATATATTTGCAGGACAAAACTACTAAGTTTAAGCACTCTTTATTACAAAGCACAAAGGCTTGCATCATACCTCGTTGCCTCCAAATACATTGAGTCTTCCTACTTCACCACCACTGGCAGTCACACGCTCCCTTTCCTCCGCATTCTCTTCCAATCTGTGATCAACTGTCAAGAGAGAAACAACACCTCCCTGAGTATCTAATATGCAGCGTGAATCCCCAACAGATGCGACAGTTATAGTCCATCCATCAACTAAAACAAATGTAGCTGTCGTTCCGGAAGTTTCCCCTGCAGATGAAACAAAAAAGATCAGCTTAAGAAAGCACAAAATATCTATGAAGCAAGCAAAGAATATTTCGTACGTACCCTTTTGCTGAAACTCTATGTCAGTCTTCACAAAGCCAACAACCAGTGCGCGTGGAAGGGCCTGAAGCCATGCATCCCTGCTAATATCTTGGGGTATTGCACTCAAAACATTACTTAGCAAGCTTTCCTTTGCAAAAATAGCAGCAGATATCCCGTTATGCCCATCAAAGATCTGCAATCAAGAATTTCCTATGAATATGGTAACAATGTGGGAATAAATCAACGGTCCATTTTATCACTGAGACATGTAAAAAAGAGAAACATAATGCTCTTCAATTCCCATTTGAGACCTACTAATCCAGAGAAAGCACCATTCAGAACCAACCACCAATTCAGTCTTAGGCTTTATTTCGATGAAGTTCTTCATAAATACTTATAAAAGAAAACATGAAAAGCAAAATGAATCAAACTTCTTCCATAGATTAAAATCAATTTATGCACTCCAGTTTATAGAAAAGTTAAATGAGAAAACTCACAAAATAAATCCCCATAGGTTGATATTTTTACTTTAGAAAAAAAAAATATCTTCTTTTTTTCTTCTTCTCCCATTAATGATTACATAAAAATTTATCACATCAAGACATTAACTAAGGCCATTTTTCTCATTTCCTAACATTCAAAATCTTCCCAAAGTATAAAACGATGTCAATCAACTTAAGTGAATATAGGCGAAAACCAAGAAGAAGAAATAATACCGCAAAGACAGAAAACGCCGTTGATGCATCCCCCGGAACCCTGAGGCAATCCGTCTTGATCAGAAAGTAATCTTCTCCTTTCTTGGCCAATCCAGATTGTCCATACTTCACGAAAGGTTTTTCAACTCTTCCATTTCGAATCTCACGGCCAATCAGAGTTCCCAATGGAACCGGCGATGACTTCGTCCTCGATAATTCAGTCCTACTCATCTTACCTCAGTTCAGAATTCAACATTTCTGGAACGGCAGCAAATAAGATATTCCTAACCGTCCAAATGAATTCGAGGAAAAATCAATAAAAATAAAAAACACTAGCTGTCATCTACTAGATCTACGTGTAATATATCAATCGACGCGATTTATTTATTACCAAAATAAGATCAACGTGTGAAACAATAAATCTCGAAGAACAGAAGTTGTGATGCATAATAACGCACATAATAACGCACATTACCGTGAAACAAATCACGTGTCTCAGATAAAGTATCAAAATCAGGAGAAATCACCACCAGAAGAATTAATAGCGAGCCAATGTCTCACCTAATTTGTGATTACAGATAACGTAGTTTAAAGAGAAACACGGAATTACTGAAATTTGTTCGCCATTCAGCTCAATTTAGGTGAAAAAACAAGACAGGAAAAGTGTGAAAAACGGTTTACATAAAGCATTGAATGAGTACAGTCTAAAAGTGGAAATGACAAGGAAAATTAAGTAAGAGATGAAAATGCAGTAGATCGAGGAGCGAGAATGAAGTACATTGCACATCGGCAAAAGCAGACGCACTAGCGGTTGAATTTCCGAAGCGGTGGAGACGGCATTTTGGGAAGAAAAGAGGTTGATGAAATGCCGATAAACCCTAGAGAGCTTTGCAGTGTGGCAGATGCAGTGACGGAGAAGAAGAGAGCTTTGCTCCGTGACTGTGATTTGATTGGTAGATAGAGAACACGCACAAAGTAGTCCTTTTTGGTTTTTGTTACAGGAAGGAATCCTCATAATGACTTTTTTGTCCTAATATTCCTTCTAAATCATAAAACACTTAACCAGAGGAATGAGGGTAATCCTGTTTTTTCCATGTTTTTTATAACAATTTTACACACTTTTAAATTAAAAATATCTTTAAGAAATTATAACACTAGTGTGAAAACATTTTTGGTAATTTAATGATTCAAAATTATAAATTATTTAAAATAATTTAATGGTTCAAGATTCTAATTCTAATTTATTATTGCAAACTATGCTTATTTAGTCGTCCAAGTTCCTATTATCAATCATTTATAACATGAATTTATTCAGACGGTTTTAGTCATCTCCCTTTTTTAAAATAATTTATAGAATGATTAAAAGGGGTGTAATTTGTATTTCACGTATGTCTCATTGATTTGTAAAGTAGATTTCACATTTTTTACTTATTGATATTCTTATTATATATCGTTATATAATATATAATAGTAAAATAATGTTATAACATATATTAAAATGTATTATAATAAACTAAAACATTGGATTTTTTTACTATATTTTATGAACATCTTAAAAATATGTAGTAATTTGGTGATATATATATAAATATATATATAACCAAATGTGAAATAGTTATAAAAAATACTAATAATTAATATAAACATACTAATAAAATATAAAAAATAAACGGTAATAGTAAAATAATATATACTATAATCTTAAGGGACAAAAAGTTTCTATGCTAAATGATATAATAATTAATGATCTGAAATGTAAAATGGTATAAAATTATGTAAAGAAAAAAAAAACCATAATAAAGAAATTGCGGATAATAATAGGGTTATTCTAATAAAATAAAAATAGAAAATTAAAATTATAAAAACAAAAATAAAAGTATTCCTACCTATACGTCCCACTATACAAGTCTAGTTTTATATACTTCCGTACAAGGATACATAAGTTAAGTTAATGTTGTAGAGATCAGTTCAATGAATACTAAATAAATACATGAACTCAAGGAATTGGTTGAATGTTTTGGCCAGAATGTAAAATGAAAGAAGCTCTTCACCTCAATTCCTGAACATAATTACAGATACAAAAAGGTGATATAAAAAAACTACTAAGCTATCAGTTCAGTTGTCTAGACATACACCTACATCAATTTGGTCCAGTGCTAAAGAGTTGCAACATTCAAATGATTTCTCTGTCAGAGTCGATGACAATAACATAAACCAATTCATGTTTCTTAAATCTTTAGAAGATCACTTTGATGCCATAAATATTTAAAGATGAAGAAAATGAATGTGAAGTATATCTTTGATGATGATTTAGCTCATAAAAATGTCATCAAAGGCAGTGAAGCAAGGAATGAGAAAAGGCTTAGAAGAGCATATTCTCACTTGGCACTGTTCCCAAATCTTCTCCTTACATCAGAAGATCCTGGGGGCTTTCTTCCTTGAGTAACTGGTTGTTGTTTCCTTGATGAGACGGGAACAGGCACAGGCACATGCACAGGCACGGGCGCAGGAATGAATGATGGGATCATACTCCTATTTGCATCGTAGGTTGTAGGAAACCCAAATGAACAAATCTTATAGTTAATATCTTCTGAGAGGCTTATATGCAACTACAGTAAGTAACTGACATAAACTGTAACCAAGAGGGTAAATTACCTGCTGTCTGCGTTCTTTATTGATCTGAGATTTGTTTTTTTCTTTGCTTTAATGCCTAATCCACTGGAAATGGTGATTGGTTTAGGTATTTGTGGTGGCCAATGCAAGTCTGACTCAGAAGAATCACTAGTTACAGTAGCAATCTCGTGTTCATCTGATTCGTCTGTGGTAGTCATATCAAAACTGGGTCTCCGTAAATCTTCATTGTCTTGGTTGTCCTTTTTATTAGAGGAGTTGTCTATTTTAGAAGGCTCTGAGAGAAAATTGAGACTTAACCTCGGAGAAGATTGTTTGCTTTCTACTTCCCACGCTCCCACAACACTATCATCACTAGTTATGCTGTCATTTCTGTTCATGGAAATCTTATCACCCCAATCTCCAGAAATTGATTCTTTATCATCCTCCTTTCTTTCACTTGTGACACTTGTCCATTGAGGTGAATTGGCATCCATGTCATGAGGATCTAGGCTTTGTCTTTTCAACGTTGAAGCAACATTTTTCTGATCCTACAAGATATGTTATTAGTATTTTTCCATAAATAAAAATATAATGTGTGTTAAATAGAGATTGATCCGATCACATGGTTGGAGATCCCGTAATGATTTATCAAATTGCAGGAAATAAGGTAAGTAACGTGTTACTTACGTCCAGGCTACTAGAATCATCTTTTGATAGCCTACGAGATCCACCACTGGAAGGCCGATGCACAGGAGGAGAAGATGCATATGATTTATGCTTAGGTGTTTCATTGCAATTATTAAACTGTTCTGCTTCTCCTTCCTTTCTCGCTAAGGCTGCCTTCAAACTAGCAATCTGACAAATATATTGCACAAAAATACTCAAACACACTAAACATTCAATTTGAAGTTATCGTGATAAAATCGTTAATGCAAAGAACCTGTTCTTTAAGCTCTTTCACATCTGAATTGTCTTTATTAACTCGCGCTGAACCGAGTTCGACAGTGGCGACTCGTTCGGCGAACTTGAGTGTGCTAAGTGTTTCTCCAAGAGCTTCGGGCTCCGGACTTATATGAACAAACATGAGAGTCTTTGCTTGCCCTCCTAGGACCCATAAAACACTTCATTAATAGCCAAAAGGAGAAAAAACAAATGTCGTATGTGGTCAAATGAATAGAAAACACCATACCAAGAGAATCTTGAAGTAGCTGAGTGAGTTTGCTATTCCTGTAGGGAACATGTGGACTCTTTTGGGCAAGGGCAGAAATTACATCTCCCAATGCAGAAAGTGACTTGTTGATATGTTGAGCCTCCTTGAGTCTATCCCCTGTAGCCTCCGTTTTATCAGCCCTCTCACTTCCTGCCAGATCAACCAGATGCATGCAACCACGAATTGTGCCTCCTGAGGTCAAGTTCTTTCCTTGAACATGAACTGTAAGACAACTGCAATATTATACCATAAATAGTTAGAGTATATAACTAAAGTCTACAACTTACAATTACAATCTTCTAATTACCTGTGAGACCGACTACTACGATCATTCATGGCAGTAGAACCAACAGCACGATTCTTATGTCCCAAGTTCATCAAACTTATGACATCAGAAGTGCATGAAACCCGAACAAGGTTAGCATCTGGAACGTTGATGCCATTAAGGGAACTATTGCGGATGTCTAACGTATGAAGGTGTCAAGAATTACATTAAGCGAAAAGAGAATCGACAATTGAACATGGCGTACAGATATATATACATATATATATAACTCTGTTAGTATATTGTCAAAGAAAGGATATCTTTTATTAGCGCCATCGGACAAAAGTAGGTCCCTAACTTGCTCGTTGTAAATCTCAAGCATCTGAACAGAGATTTCATAAGAAATTGTATCTTTTCTTTGATCAGAGAGATAGAAAAGGTCTCCTAGTGCACGATAGTTGACACCTATGGTCTCATCGTTAAGTTCATCTGGCCCAGACTGTATCAATACATAGTTACATTAAAAATTAAGTTGTTTGAACAAGAGGGTGAAAACAAGGTTGTTTGAATCTTTTACCATAGTGAATGTTTTTCCTGATCCCGTCTGGCCATAGGCAAATATGCAGACATTATAACCGTCCAAAACAGAACGAATAAGAGGCTGTGTGTCGGCAAAAACTTCTCCTGTAACCAAATCGTAAGTATCAACAATGATGATAAATATAATGAGTAAAAAAGTTCTAAATTGTGACCACAGTCACAATTTAATCAAACTCCTTGATATTGAAGGAAATTACAGAAGTTGTCATACTGAGAAATAGTGTTTTTTTTCAAAACCTTGAGTAGCAACAAGAAGGACAAATTATGACGAACCTTGGGTTGCAGAAGGACCAAATGCTCTATTGAAATTAAATGTCTTCTTCCCCTCTTTACCGTATTTGGAAGGTGTTATGATTGAGATGCTTCCATCTTCCACGTTACCGACAGAGCTATAATGACTTGGTTGACCACCCAAGAAAGGTCGGACTCTACAGTATACCCTAATATTTCCTATCAACATGAAATTTTTGTTTAACCTTCACTCTCATTTACAACATGAGCAATCAAGGAGACTAATCATAGATATAAAGTCTTGATCATTACAATTCACCTTTCAGATCTTGCACTACATTATATAACTTGCGGTTTTCTTCAAGAACTTTATGGTATCCCGAAGCAGCACAGGTTAGGCTGTATAGGTGCTTGCCTATTAAGGTTAGACAAGTAATTAGATAAATGATATGTTTTCGTTAAATATTGACTTAGACGGGTTTATTTTGTCATTAAACTTACTTAGATTAATGATCTCCTTCTGGTGTTCACTTTGCATCAATTGCATTCCTTGTTTTGTTTGATGGACAATGTTTTTCAATTCCTAGAGAAAGTTTGCATTGAATTAGTTATTTTACCTCTTTAGTTCCTTGACAAAGTCAACATCGCATTCTGGTATATACTGAAAATTACCTGGATGTTTCTATTTTGTTGCGCAACTATATTTTGCTGCTTCGAAATCGATTTTTTGTGGATTGATTTTTCATGTTCATTGCACATCTTTTCACAACTTTCCTCTCGTTTATTTTCTTCCCTGTGTTCATCTTGAATGTCACGCTCAACTTTTACATCATGTTCATCTCGTATATCATGTTCATCTTTTACATCATGTTTATCTTGTAGATCATGCTCTTCTTGTACAGCATGTTCATCTTCCTTTTCTTTCACCTTAATAATTATCAAACAAAAAAAAAAGTAGACCAGTTGAGATCGAGATAATGATCAATCTAATCGTTTTTATTTGCACACTTGTAAGACGAAAGCATTTATGAATCTGAATTTTACCGTTTCATTAATAGAAGCAGCTTCTGAAATTGAACATTCAGTTTCACACGGTGCTGTATCTTCCCTAGTTGTTTTATACTGCCAGGAATTAACAAGTGTGACTTTTTTTGCCATGGGGTATGAAATTGAACATCGCTAGAAGAGAGAGACACAAACCATTTTACATCGAATTTGCATGTGATGTTCACATTCCTCCATGACTTTGCTAAGCAAGGATTCCACTGCCTGTTATAGCAAAACATTTCATATCATTAACGAATGTGGTATAGCACCAAAGAAAAAGAAAAAGAAAAATCCAGGATAAATTCATTGAACAAAAACAAAACTGGTTTATGCTACATACGTACAAGTATCTTTTAAATGTTTTGTTTTTGCTACATATATTAAAGAATCTTACAGTGAGAATTTCTTCTGGATTTTTGTCGGACAAATATTGACGAACGAGTGAATTTAAGGAGAAAGAACCCTGCAGATAGCAATTCAAAAAGCTTTGATGTTATAAACAAAATAGTAAAATATTATAAACAATAAAGCTTCCTAACCCTTTCGCTTCGATCTTGTCCGGGATCACTCATATAACCACCATCTCTATCCCCTGATGGCAAAGGACTCATAGACTTCATGAATGGTTCTGAGTTTTTCCTCGTAATTCGTTTCGCAGAGATAGGTGGCTTTGCATTCGCAACCCCACTATATTTCCCAGATGCACTTCCTCCAACTTTTCGTTCGGCATAAGACTTTAGCTCTAGAACACAATCCACTACCCTCTCAGAGTTTCCTCCCTGTAAGTACAACAACGAAGCAGAAACCAAAAAATGGTTAAAGCTAAAGAAAAATTAGATTGTGCTACATATAAATTATTATAATCTAGTGAATCCATCAACGTACTGAATAGAAATTTTTCAGACTCATTAAAAACCACCTGTTCCAAATCAGAAACTTCGAAGGTAGGAAGCCCCATTTCCTCCACAGCCACAAGAAAATTCTTTATATTTTCTTGGTACTGATATGCAGATGTTGTTCCATCAGGAATAATAACAGAATCACAAGGTTTTTCAAATACCTAACAACATAGGTCCAAATGTCCAATAAATGTCAAAACAGGGTGCATGCTTGAGGAGTCAACGTAAAGTGAAACATCAAACATGTATATTAAACATGATGCGGTACCTTCGACACTGTTCCAGGTTGAATTTTGTTAAGAACACTACATAGGATAATCCCACTACGCAATCCAATCCTGAAATCTCCTTCAGAAGGTTCAGCTGGCAAGTCTTTCCCTCGAACAACTCCAACTGTTTTCCGTAGCCAACCAGCTGCTTCATACCTTCTCAAGGCTGCAACACGAAACGTGAAATATCCGTGTTAAAGATCCATGTTACTCTTTCTTGAAGATCACTTACGTTTTCTATAGTTCATGCAATTACTAACGGACAAAACTTTAAAACAACTGTCTTTGGTGTTGTTCTAAAATTGGATTCAAAGTATTCATAATATAAAAGATTAAACAAAGTATATATAAGTTTTTTTTTCATTACAAGTATGTATTTCCATCATTGTAGGAACAATCAAGATCCTTTATTGAAGCCAAAAGAATAAAATTTTCAACAAAACAAGATTCATTTATTGGTTGAAACTTGAAAAAAGCATCTTTTTTGGCCAAGAAAAAAAATATTAGCAGTGAGTAAAGAATTGGAATTGATAAGAAAAGATGGAGAAAAAGGATTATTATATATACAGGTTTCTTCAGTTTTTCTGGATGCCGAGTTTGCGTCTAAACGACCAGCATGCTGTTGAAGAACCTCTTCAACCACAGAAGCCAAAGAGAATGTTAAAACTGGTTCAGTTGCCATTTTCTGGCTTCAAGAAATTCATAAGAAAAAACACCAAGCCGATGGTGGGGCCAGACTTGGACTCAAATGTTATATATTAACCCAAGACTCGTAAAGAAAGTTTGATCTTAAGGAGAATAATTAAAAAAACTTAGCCATGAGTGAAAAAAGGTTTCTCAAAGGAAAAGAAAATGGGTGGATAAATCTGAGAAAAAGGTTGAAAATGAAAGAAAAGAATGAGGGAGAATGTGAAGGAATTGAAGAAAGCAAAGAGAAAGAAAATGGGTTTGGAATTTCTAGTCCTTTCTCTCGCTTTCTCTTGGTTCTCTGCATTTTCTCCCTCTAGTTTCGTGTCTATATTAACGTACAAAACCGAACCCCAAACTAGTTCCGACCTTCCCGCTATGTCATCACTTATTCCTTTTGTATTTATTGGATCATAAAATGTTACAATTTCTTGTTTATCCAAATGAGGTACAATATAATTTACCATTACAGCTCAGATTATTATGTACATAAATTGTAAAAATAAAAGATAAAATTATAAATATAGAATAACTATTAAATATTGTTTTAATGGATTGTGTGACTTTCACAAACAATTAAATGAATTCCTAAATTAAGAAACTAAATGCTATTTATGTAAGTAACTATTTCGCACTTTCTTTCCCTCTTTGGAGACAGTTTAATTTTGTAAAAAACAAATTTAGTTTTAATGATGAGTTGAGTATAATTGCGAATTGTTTCATGTATGTAACATTTTCTATTTATAAGTGAGCGTGTTTACATAAGTACTGGTGCATTGTGAAGAAATCCTAATGCAAAAATGAAATTAGAGGCTCCAATACATCAAACAAAACTCTTAATACATTTTAAATACTTATATATATACATCTTCATTTATGGATGTCATTTGTAGTTTATGTAAAATGGCATATACATGATTAGGAAAACAAAAGGGTTGTCCTAACTAACTTGTTAGTGTCGAAGAAACAAAATTAAAAAGCCATTGTGTTATTTTAATTGTTAAATAAAAAAATCTGTTAAAATACTTATGGATAATACATAAAGTTCATTTTTTGGAAAAAAAAATATGTGGAAGATTTGGTACAAGTTATTTGTTTGAAAGTTTAACTTTTGACACTGGTTATTTTATCTAAATGATCTGTGTTAACGAACACCTAGTATATGTATTTTATTGTAAACAATGGATGTGGTTTCTTTAAATAAAATATTGCATTTTAGAAAACAAAATTACGCTCGTAAGTATTAATTAAATCAAATTTTTTTGAATTTTATTATATGTGTATTTTATTTAATTTTGTTGTCACTCTTAACTATTAATTTTGTAATTAGTGATTACTATTATATTTAATTTTGTAGTAGGAGTTTTAATTTTTTTTATAGTGATTCAATTAAAAATTGTTATGTAACATGGTTTTTTTAATATTAAACACGTTAAAATTGATATTAAAATTTTTTATAACATGAAAAAATATATTCATATATTCTTTTAATATTGATTTCAGCTTTTGTTACAAAAAAAAAAATAGGAGGATTCAAATCATTGAAGCAAAGCATGTAGTCCAGAAATAAAAAATAGATATACTATTAATGATAGTCATTTCATCTGCTTTCGTAGCTCAGTTGGTTAGAGCACCCGTTTAGTAAGCGGGAGGTCTTGAGTTCGACTCTCAACGAAAGCAATTTTTGTATTTTTCCTTTTATTTGTTTTTGTAGCAAACTGGTTCTTTATCAAGGAGGCCCGGTATTTGCATTTTCTTATCCCAAGTCCAACGAAATTTCAAAATTTGAGATTTTTTTTCTTTCTAAAATGTTTTCTAGTATTAATAAAAAAATTTGAAGAATAAAAGTATTCAATTAAAATTAAAAATATAATTATCCGTTATTCAAGTCATAAATTTTAATTGTTTTAATTTTTCTTTTCTTACTTTTCTTATATATATATATATATATATATATATATATATATATATATATATATATATATATATATATATATATATATTATTAGTCAATTCCTTAATAAACTTGTAGAATACAACAGTTCATTTGTAATAAATTAGTATAGAGTGCTTACATAAGTTTTATCATTTTAAATGAAGCTGTAAATGGGACCATTTAAATGTGTTTATTCATCTCTCAATCTCGACATAAAATGTTTCTCTTCTTTGTTTATATACTTTTTTTACTAATATTTTAATTGATTTATTTTTATTTTCACATTTATGAACCTTAGTTTTTTTTTTTTTTTTTAAACAAAGGTAAAACCTTGTATTAGCATATTCAAACATTTTATTAAGAACATCAATGATAATTTTTTACTAATTTAAATACTTTTTTTTATTATTTTCATAATTTTAGTTTTATGTGATTTTCTTTTTTTCTTAAGCATTCAATTAAGTCTTAATTTTTATCAATTTGATAATTTTTCCAATAATGTTTATGAACAAATGATCATGTATCAAGTTAATACATGTCACGTGTGAATCTTAGTATCATGGATCAATTCATAGTTGTGTCATTTCTCTTTGTTTCAATTTAATCTTTTGTTATTTTATTCAATTCAATCTCAAATTTTTTTTAAAATAAAATAATTTTATTACTTTTATATTGAAACCAAATTTAATTTTTATCTAAATATTCTACTATTATTTTTATTAAAATTGATATTTTTATTAATTTTTTTTTAAATTCAATTATAAATTATTACATTTAATTATAAATTGAATATAATTATTGGATTCAATTATTAAATAGAATATAATTATTAAGTGTTTTATGCTAATAATTATATTCTAAATAAACTAATATTTCAAAAATTGACATTTAAATCTAAAAAAATTAAAAATATTAGAAATACTAATATTAGAATTATTGAACATGTAGCATATTTTATGTTTCTTTAACTTGATATTTAACATTTTATAACATACAAACAACAAAATTCCCTAGTATCAAATATTATTTGTATCTTGAATAGTTTGTAATAATATAAACATTTATTATCATTAAAATGTATTCTAATTGACATAATTTTACTGAGTAAAATAATAGACAAAATATAGTTCACCCTTAGAAAAAATAAATTTACAGATTTTTTTAAAAAAAATGTGAAATCCTTATTCAGAAATTTATTTTACAGATTATATTTAATAATTTTGTACATTGATTAGAATTTAAATTACGAAATCCTAATCATATTATTTTAAATCATCACACTCTTAGCCCCATATTTTGGAATTTAAACCTAATTTAATCATATAAAGTTAGTTTTTAGAATAAAATTTAGACTACTTATATAGTGTAAATTGTTGTATTATTTGAAGTAAGATTTCCAACACCTTTTATTACTCATTCATGTTATCTCCTTTCCCTTTCATTTATCAAATAATTAGGACTTCACCCAGTTTTTCTTTCTACAATCCTGTTCAATGTTCTAAACATGCACTATTGTCCTGTTTTATTGGCTAGCTTTCTATTAAAACCAAATCAATAATTCTTGCAGTGATGTAAAAGCTTCAAAACTTGGTACCAATTGGTGAGATTCCATTGATAGTCAACAATTTCAAATTTCCTTTTTCCTTTTAGTACAAATCTAGAGTTCAATTTTTTGTCATAAATAATTATTGCCACAACATCAATGCAAAATACAGACAGAAAACTAGTCTGAATTTTTCTTCTTCTTGATAATATCTGATTCTTTGAATGATTTTTCGACAAGAGAAGATAGGGTCAATTTCAGATCACTGGTCAACCTGGGAAGAATCAAGGACAATGTGTTCACATCTTCCATAGCCCTGTGAGCTGGTCCATCCCCTTTAATTCCGTAGAGGTCACGAAGGGCAGCAAGGGAAGATGAAGAAAGTTTAGTTCCTGTAAACACATCAAACAGTTAAGGTTTTCACAGAGAAACAGCAAGTTTTGTGCACACGCTGCATGTGTGCACGTGTATTGAGAAACAAATACAAGAGAAGGAGACCTTCAGATTTTAGTAGTTCACGTCCTAAAGGCAGGGTGTCTGAGAACAACCAATTGCAAGGAATGTTCGCAGAACAACGTCGGAATTCGTTGATGATGAAAGGGACATCAAAACAACGAGCATTATGAGCAACAAATAACACATATCCCCCAGGTTTCTCCCTACTTCGAACATATTGCAATAAGATAGGAATGAGCTCTTCCATCCTACAAAAAATTTGCAAGAGCGCAAAAATACTCAATAATTTCCTTCAAAAAATTAACTAATGGCGTAAAATTGTTATCCATCAACAATTAAAATTCATATTTCCACCGCCTGATCTTCAAGTTTATGGAAACATGAACTTCTCATAAAATCAAAACACATAAATGTGAACTTTCCATGATAATTTCCAAAAGGAAAATCAACTCGCTCTATAGAACAAGTGATGGTAGCCGATTCCAACCAAGTAAATGGTTAGTAAGACCTTATTCAACAACTCCAGTAGTTGTCTTGTCAGTTTAAACCGTAGATTCTTCCCAGTCATGTGCTTTATCAACAAGGAAAAAGAAATGTAAAGTTGACAGTGACACTAACCCCGATATATTGAATTGTTAAGTGGCCATAAATAACTTCAGGACAATTCTACATCTATGTCAGAGTGAAAGATGAATAACTTGGGAGGGAATGTTTAAAAAATGCATAATGATCCAATAACCACCCTAACATACTTCACATGCCTTTCCGATAAAGATAGACGAGATAATTTAATATGTTGCTTTTCCAGTTTATAGCCTTAGTCTCTCAAGTTTGAACTGTTTTCTAACACTTAGTAGTAGACAGGAATCCAATTTACTGTTATGTGAAATTGCCATAGGCTTGAAATAAGACGGAATATATGATAACAAATGAAACTGAAGGGCTTAGCTTTTTTTTTTTACTTCTCAAGTAAAATACAGAGATTAAACTTGGTCACAGAAGTTCAAGGCTTCATGCTATGGCCGTAAAAAAGATAAGGGGGCCAAAGCAACAAAAAGTGTATCTCTCAATTTGAAATGGGAACTTATAACTAAAATATAAAGTCATGAAAGTAACGAGGAAGAAACAAGAAGAGTAACAAAAGGCCAAAACTAACAATTATATACACATGACCCTTTAATCTCCTGTCTCTACATACATAAAACCTCCCCTTCAGTAGTAGACCATAAGGATTTATCGGTTAAAGCCTGTTGTTGGTTCCCAACATTTTTGTCTAAATTTACAAGTTTCTTTAGGGTAGGGGTGTTATTCGCTTGAGGTATTGTTTCATCCTTTGGGTGTAGACTAATTCATT